TTAATTAATATGGAAATTATGCATTTTAAATTTTATATCTCCGGAGGCCAATTTTTTTCTTAACACACTGTATATAATTTTATAATTTTATGTTCACTTTGTAGTTTATAACTTATAAATTTACCAGATAGGAATTTCTTTATTTTCATGTTAATATATTTACATGAATAACAGCATTTATAACAATGTTTTTTTTGAATGCATTGGAAGGAGAAAATATTGAAGTAAACAGAAATATGTTATGTTCTTTTTTTATACCTAGAGAAGAGAAAATAAACTCCTTAATATTTTGATAATCATCTCATGTTCAAGTTCTTTGTTGCCAAGTTTTTAAAAATTATTTGACAATAACAGAAGATTTTATTAATATATGCAAATTGCAAATGAATATGATGACACATATATATAACTTTTGTAATCATAATCAAAATATACTATCAAGAGTTCCAAATAATTACTTGAAAGTGCTTATGAAAACCAGGTATGTTGAAGAGCTTCTTCAGCTGTAGGACGCAAATTAAGATTCATTGTTGTAGTAAACCTCTCAAAATCATGGGCTTCTTTAGACAAGGGACATAAAAGCTTGCTGAGTAACTTTCCTACCATATAAATATCTGCCTTTTTTGTATATGAGTGTGTTTCAATTGCTTCAGGTGCCCAATCTGCTAATGGATCAAAATTTACCATTTCACCATTGATACCAGAACACTAGAGGAAAAATTTAAAACAAAGGCTTTATTTAAATTTTGATAAATAAGGGAGACCAAAAAAAATGATAACAATAAATTTATTTACCTCCAGATCAATTAACATCCAATTGTCATCAACCAATTTCATAATATTAGGCCACCTAATATCACGGTGAACATAACCTAAGTTGTGTAAAGCTATAAGTGCATCCAAGATGCAATGAATGGCAACTTTAGCTTCTGGTTCTGATTTTGGAACTTGTCTAATTCCTACTGGTGCAAGAATGACTTTGTATATGTTATCTTTTATCTCTGGACCTTTAACAGCATGTATTAGAAATTTAATCTCCTTTGTCTTTCTATATATATCTTTTAATACATTTATATTGCTAAAAGGATAATTTGCAAACATATTAATCCGTTTTTCAACCTCAACATTCATAATAAGAATATCACCAAATGGTCTCTTTAAGAGTTTTCCAACTGGTACAGCATCCTGAGGCAAAAATGGTTCCATGGAACGCAAAATGCAATGGATGTTGATAATATTGACAAGGGCCTATATTATAAATAAATCAGAATAAATTGATAAAAAAGTGCTTTTTCAGGATTTACAAAATATATTTAATTTCACTACCTTGACTCTATTCTCCAAGTGTTCTATATCCAAAATAGTTGAAATAGCTGTCTGATTCAAGGATGAATCTATTGCAAAAAATTGTAAATAGCTACCTGCTGCTGCATATGCAAGAATGTATTCAAGTGATCCATAAATGCTATGATTCCATATTCTCATCTTTTCAGTAAGTTCATTTTGGCTTCAGAAAAGTCTTGTTTTGTAGATTTTTCTTCCCCTTTAAAAACAAGGACATCATCAAAATGTTCCCAATAATCTGATCTGAGACCAGCCAATGTGATTAATGTATCATGTGTATTATGATCACTTTCCCATAAATGTTCTGTTTTGAATCTCTTTCTAAAAACATCTGTTGGATTACGGAGCAAGTTATCCCAATCACAAACTCGAGAATATTCACTGGAACCAATAGCAGATCCTTGCAAAGCTATATTGCAATAATTAGACATTTCTTCTGGGAAGCAATTAGTCTCAATATTGGAATTTGTTTCTTCAAAAAAATCTGCATTAATAAAATACTCAGAAAAAGGAAAGTCTTGACAAAGTACCTCACATTTATTGTATAAAGCTGGTGAAAGAGGAATTTTTAAACTAAAAGGATTAAAAAGTATGGAACTGAGTTCTCCAATCTTGGGTGGTTTTTCAAATGGTGCTGCAATATTATGACAAAATTCTGATGTATTGTCAATTCGAGTGCGCTTTTTGCCATGCTTAAATTTAAAATAAAGTATTAGATGAAATTATTTAAAAAAGTATATTTAAGAGAAATTCAAACATTTACATGAGATGGTGCTGGTGACAAATAAAGAAAAGTCAAGTTAGTCAACATTGCAATCAGTATACCAACAAAGTAAATAAACGAAATGGAATGAACAAAAAATAAATTCTCTTTTTTTTTACACAATTTGTTCATTACCTTCTTTATTAAATTTCGTTAATTCTTGTTGTAGAAATACCACCTGAACTCCCCATCTCTTCTTCTCCGCCTCCAACAACTTCTTCTCTTCTTTCATCACCTCTGTTCCCCACCTTTTCTCAAACTTCTCTAAATTCTCCTCCTTCATGAAATTTTCCAAATTCTTCATTGCCTTATCCAATCTCGATCATAATAGCATAACGGAATTTCTCTGTGATTGGTCAATAATGATCGACAAATTTAATTGAGTTTATTGGCCAGAATTTATTTAT